GAACCAGTTCAATTTCTTCTGAACTGGTTCAGTTTATTTTGAGCCAGTCCAATATAACTCAATCCAGTACATATCAGTTTAGGGTAAGGTTTAGGGTTAGGGTTAGGTTTAGGGTTAGGTTTTGGGTTAGGTTTAGGGTTGGGAATAGCATTGAGCCAGCATTATATAAAAATTTTCTTCATTAATAAATTACAATTAAGAAAAAACAATTTGCAAACATTACTACCAACAAAATACTTGATGGCATAATTGGTAGTACTGTGGACTATGAAGCAAGAGTTCAGTGGTTCAAACCCTGGTGAAGGTAAGTGTTATTCATAAATTAACAATAAAGAAAATATCAATATTTCTGTGGGGCATAGGGTAAGATAAAGTAGGAAATAGTAGAAGGTAGAAAATAAGATGATAGATAGGAAATGGGAGAGAATGAGATGGGATATAGTTCTTTTAGTTCTTTTAAGAATGCCGAAGCAAAAAAAAAAAAAGAAAGAAAAAAAGACCAGTACAAGAAGTCTTGTACTGGAAGAAATTAGATTAAACTGGTTCAAAAATATATTGAACCTGAACTACAACTTTAGTCTCCTTATGACATAAAATTGTCATGCAAAGAATAGAGCTGATCTCAATGACAGATTTTTATAGAGTCATCTATAAAGAGATATCATGTCAATATGGCACATTGATACAGCATTCTATTACAATGATTTCAAGGATTATTCTGATCCACGTCGTTCTGATCAGTATTTAATACTCATCGATTCACATAATCACACTTATCCTACTTAAAAAAATCGATCATGGTCAGTATACAAAGTAAAGGTATCATCACTTCAAACTAAGAAATTGTAATGGTGTTGATATAATTCACTGTCGATATATGTTAAAGTGTTTTGGATGCATATAAATTATTAAATTCAGAATTTCAAGGTCTAATTTTCATTTTATAGATTTTCTATCGAAAACAGACAAAGTCTGGGTTTCATACAGATTTATGTCCACGGTATACTTGTCTAACAATCTTCAAGTTGTGTCAACATTGGTGGCTTGATATGTATTGATTGTAATTGATTGATTGGTTAGATTCTTACCTCAAAATTTGTTTTTACTKGCTTCCTATTTTGCTTTCTGATTTTACTCTTTTTGATCAGCTGGGGTTTTTGTGGTGCTTTTTGAGGAGTTCTAGGGTGAGCAGCTGAAAAACAACATTTTTGATAATTATTATGCAGTCTATAATAGAAATATTTACAATAGAAATATTTACATCATATTGTGGCTGCAACAATTAGTGTAGTTAATCATAGAGCTATAGTGGCCCCCTTTCCATTATATTCCATGTCAATGTCAGCCGCTTGGTCACCACAATTCTGTGGTGATTGTGAGGCTTCAATTGTTGTACAATTAGTTAAATTGTATAAAGATTAAATTAGAGTGTCACTTGCATGTTTGAAAGAGACTTGAGGTATAAGATAAATGCTAGTTTCCTTAGCATTCTGACTGTAAACTGATTAAAATTACTATGTAATAGCAGGTCAGACCATATTCCAGACATATTATATATATACATGTAGCTATACAGCTTTATACAACTTTTCAGTAAAATCAGACGTTTTGATTGGTTGGCTTTCGTGTGTTATCAAAGTATAGATACACGGATTACTAATTGTTTGTTGTATAAAACAGATAGATCTCATTTTTCCGTGCGTGTGCACTCTAATAGATACACAGATGACGTCAAAATGTAGTGAGAACAACAGTCACGCACTCGACTGCGTCTCGTGCGTACTTTTTTGTTCTCACTACATTTTGAYGTCATCTGTGTATCTATTAGAGTACACACGCATGGAAAAATGAGATCTATTTGTTAAATAATATTCTCTCTAACAGTCAGTGTTACCTGGCGTTTGTCCTAAGGCTTGGCATTTACCTAGTATTGCTAGAAGGAAGTTATTGTGAAAATGGACTGAAAAACAAATTGAAACAATTAGTGTGAGGTGTGCACTCTTTTCATAACTCTAAATTCAGTGACTTTGACTTTAAGTACCAGGAAAACTGCCAGCTAATAAAGCAATCACAATAAAAGTATATACATTTTCTGAAAGATAAATAAGCCAGTGATTGCAGCTACTGGCAAGAAATTTGCTTGAATAACAGATTTTTATCCATATCACTTTGTGATATACATCAATTAAATCTAAAAAGGTGGTACTCATATTTATATTTCTTTCATATAAATAATTTTCACATATGGTATTACCACATTTACTGATAAAAAAAACAACTTTAAAAGCAAATTAAAAGTCATATTTAATTCATCTACTAAATAATTGCTTGCGTTAATTTTCCTTTGAGAATATGAATTAATATCATTTCTGCGAAAATTTGTCACTATTTTGTTTAAACCTTTGACTCCTGGGCTTTTGAAAAACAGGGTATTTTTGATTTTGAAGCTAAAAGATTTMAAAAGTCCTCTTAAATGCAAATTTGACATCTATTGTGACGTCATAGTGTTACAGACAATCTTCCTTACATCGTGCTTTAACATAGTGGATACTCCATCCTTTAAGGAAGGAGTAACCACAAAAATGACATCATAMACTAGAAAAATTACCAAAGCATGAAATCAGTTCTGCAGTGCATTGCAAAAAGTAGCAATGCTAARTGTTTAATTGTTCAGCAATTTGYGCCACAATACTAGTATTTTTGTGAGGTAATTTAAYTCATGTTTGAGTTGGTAGCATTACTTGAAAATCTACTTACTATTGCCACTCCCTAAGCACCGTCTTGCTTGTGTATCAAGTTCATCTTTGCCAATCTACAAATATCAAATTTTAGATCCCAAGTTTTTACATCATTGAGCAAAATTCTAGTCATGACTCATCTCTACAGGCCTGCTATCAAAAGAATACCACTTTTGAAATGTATTTCTCTTGTAACGGTTACGAACGTAGTGAGTGTGAGTGGAGAGAGAAATACTTTCCTTGGCGACGGAGGACTGGACACTAGTGCACGTGCTTGTATGCTAATTAGGATGTTGTTTATAAGGTCAAGTTGAAATTAAATCAAGCATTGTGGTCTAAGTTCCTTTTGCTTAGTTTTCATAGGAGTGTGTGAGTTCTGTGTGATGGTATTTGTAATTTTAGGCTGCGTCTTTTGGAATAAAATGTTATGGGCTTAGACCGCTCACCACATACCTTGTGTCTGTTTTATGAACTATGGGACGGAGGAGTACAAGGAACAATAAATATTTAATATTACTACAATACATGATATCATCAAAATCTATTCTTTTAAAAAGCTAATCTTCTTAGCTGATTATTTTAAACCTAAACACAAAAATTCACTCTGCATGACAACGATGGCTGTCAGGGAGATGACCCTGKTTTTCGTTGAACTAAGCCACTTTTTGATTGGCTACTGAAATTWAATTCCCTTTTTTTATAACACTCATTACTGCCTGTTTATGTTCGTCTAAGGATAACCCTTAGGTCTATGATCGGTTATTGATTTATTGTTACAATGCTTTTAATGTTCTTTTGTTAACGATCTTTGGGAATCCCTGAAGAATTTTAAAAGGAGATGTATCTACACCCATTGAGTAGTAGCAATGCCGATGACAGGGAAATTTTAAAATAAATCAAAATTTAAAACAAAACAATTTATGAAACTGTTGAGTTTACTTTCCGAGTGCCGTTTTTAATAAATAGAACACATGATCACGTGATCTCTAGCGGCCACCAGGGTCATCTCTCCAATTACTGCCATCTTGAAAAGCTGTCRGCCGAGATGGCCCTTGGGACGAGTCGGTTGTCTGCATGATTGTCCTATTTCCATTTTTTTAAATAAGCTTAATATTAATTAATTTATAAGAGTTATTGCATTGATTTTACGTAGTAATATTTAGCAATCTCAATTTGTTGTGTGCTAGCAGTTAAGTAAAATTTTTATGACCAAATCGCCAAAACCTGCACGTATGGCAAGTAAGATAAGACTTAAGTTAAGTAATAAGTATATCTAAAAGTGATATATCTATCCCAGATTTGAAATCCCCCCCCCCAAAAAAAAACAAACCCTGTAGCGTGGCACAGGTATAGCAAACATATTGGTCATCATCAATTTTTAACTCTTTATAAGTAAGTTTAAGCTTAATATCTAAGCTTAATTGTCAGATCGATAAGCTTACCTTTTGTTTATACCATAGTTTCATAACATTCCAGTACCTAACGCAAGAAATCGGAAACTAAGTCAATGAAATACATCACTGATTTGGAATCACAAACACTACTTACGACTCTGAATTGTCTCCTAACGCTTCCATAAGTTGCCTTCGAGAAGAAATCAAATCGACCGCCATGTTGGAATTTCGTCTTGTCAAAGAGCGAAGACTGCTGGCACGGAAGACTGGTGTCACCAACACAGGAATACCAGTCGTCGCTCATTTTGCAGAAATGTTTCTAAAACTGTTTTTGTTTCGTAAACGTACTAAAAGTATATCTTTGTTTTTCAATGTGTTTTGCAAATTGTGTGTCGTTTTTCGTCTAATCGCGAAAAATAATGACCGCTGTGAGCGGGCATTACAGGGAAATTCCGACCGGTCATTATCTGTTAACAGCCAATCAGAGCGCGCGTACTATCTAAGCCATATAATGAGCAGGTTTAACAGGCTATGTTTTGAAGTCTGTTTTATGTATAGTTTAAAACACGATCTCGAGTGTTTTAAACGGCTTTAAAAACTCAAACACTAATTTTAAACTCAAATCTGTTAAAATTCTTGGASAAATTGCCGTAAAAATAGGTTTTGAGATAAATGGGGCAAACTCATCATGCGCGAATCATATTACAAAGCACTCTTGTCATCCCACATTGAATACACATAAAGTAAAATCATGATTTTCTGCAGAAGGCCTATATTTGAATATTCAAACGGATGGCACGGTGCTACACGTTTCACGTCCCTAATTTGCACCTCATTTCCTTATTTGGAAAAAATTCAATTTGCCCTGAACGGGCCTTAAATCTCTTATCAAACGGCTACATTTTCCAAATATGGTCATAACATTCGTTTTTGAATTTTTAATGTGCTTTGAATATTCCGACGCTTTGTGTACTAAAGAAATGTACTGGCGCTACACGTTTCAAGTSCCTTATAGGTTTCTGGTAAAATAGAAACGCTGGTGTCTGTTTTACTGCAAACGGTTAACATCCTGCATTGGTCAATGATCAAACATTCTTTTGAAACCTAAGTGTAGATTAGTCATCCAGTCGTTAATAATTAAATAAAGTGATAAGTCAATTACTGGAAAAAAGTTGAAACGATTCACGACGTTTCGATCGATTACACCAATCTTCCTCAGGTAGAATGACTAGTTGAACCACCAACCAGGGTTTTATTGTGAGGCAAACGGCGAGTAACGCCTTTCAGAACAACATCCCATGAGTGTGGTAGGTTGAAACGTAGGCCGCCCCTTCTGTTTAAGGTGGGATTTYMMATTCGTTCATAGATGGCTTCTTTAATCCCTCTCCTCCGCCAATCAGCTTCTCTGTCCAGAATGGTGACGTCATTGTCAATAYCAAAAGTGTKATCCACTTTCACAAAAACGACTACTGTAAATGTGCTATCTCTATGCAAAACGTTTTCAAAAGTGAATATATATATTTTTAAACACCGTTTTTGTTTCCGGGTGTGTATGACACAAAAAGGGCTCATCGCAGAAAATGATTACAAACAAGCCCGGCCATTCACAACAATTATTTGAGGCCTTAAACGCAGACAGCCCACCCCTTACATACATAAATTTTTATTTTTTATTTTTGATTGTATTTGTCTACAGATCGAGATGTTTATCGAACGTTTTCGCTTGGACTAGTGAAAACGATTCGTAAAACGATGACTGTTTACATGTATAGAAAAAGRATAGGAAGTATAGTTCAATTGTGTGGTCGACTAAAAAACTTGACAATTAGATCAGTTCGTTAAATTGAGTGTCTTCTAATATTTCTGAGCTTTAATTGCATGTGTTGCTATATGAATGTTCTAAAGATGTTAAGCCTGCTTTCTAGTGTAGCCAAGATTAGACGAATTCAACCAGATTCATCATTTTACTGGACCTGACCAGGCCCTCCTCCAAATGTCATGTGCAGAGGAACCTTAGCCCTCTCGGTACCCTGGGAACCAGAGGCTGGACTTACTCGTTCTTGTAGTTTATATASGGCGCGAAGCGCCGTCCTTGACGGTTCGGCCTTTGGCCTCAAGGACGGCGCTTCGCGCCGTATATAAACTACAAGAACGAGTAAATCCAGCCTCTGGTTCCCAGGGTACCCTCTCGGCCATAATTCTCTGAAAAATGATTAGTATTTAGATGAAGGGTTCGCGTCAAGGCGAACTGTTCGCACTTGGCCTTTACAGTATTTGTGGATTCTTTTAAGCTCCGGTTCTTTAGCACTTTGTCCCAGTCTAAAAAAATGAATATAAATGATGCATAATAGGATAACAGGTTGAATTTAAGCTTTCAAAGTAGTTATCATAAATCTCAAGGAAAAACAGCATTTGCAGTCTTCGGAGGTTTTCGATGCATTTTTTGGGCACCAATCACATCCTCTAGTAACCTCCTGGCGAGGGGAAGGGGGGCATTGTAAATGCTATAATACTTACAGGCATACAATGATGATGGTCAAAATAGCTAGGACAGCAACACCAACAAATACTCCAAGAAAGATTAGCAGAGTCTCGTCGTGATAATTGTTTCTGTCAGTAGGTGGAGCTGTGTTCGATTTGAGTTGTAGCAGGCGCCCACTGGATCCAACTTGATAGCCAATAGCTTCTGTAATTATGGATCTGGAGTCTTTAATTATAACCAGAAGCGTCGAAAGTGGAAGAACGCTTTCCTGAACTGGTAAAGAATGAGCTATGGTTTATCATAATAATACCATGATCACCTCGGATTCCATTGTCTTCCGAGGGGTTTACAAACCCGAATCTCCTTCATGAATAACATGAGGGAAATTTAGAAGACAAAGGATTCTTTGTCTTTCACTAAATTTCTCTCTATCTAATTTATGCAAGGAATAAAAAAATAAAAAGAAAAAAAATCAGCTTACTTGCTTACTGGTTTTTGGAATTTAGTTTGCGATCGGTTTCAAGTTAGATGTTACCCCCGTCCCCATCCCCCTTTACCTTGGACGTTGCCCTCCCTCCTGATAATTTGCGCAGCCCCTTGTATGACTTGTATACATGTATTTATGTACAAGGGAAGTCAATCAATTTATGTACATCTAAAAATGAACATTTTATACCAGGCATCCATTAATTAAAACTGCGATAAGGTACCAATAATAGTACTGATTGAAATTACGATACCTTTTGTTGTATGCACATAGAAGGCAACAATTATACCATCTGTTATACCAGTTAGTACTTTAGGATAACCCACCACTATGGTTAAGGCATATTCACTCCTATATAAAACCAATCAACGACGTTAACAATTTTAACATGGTCTACAAATAAAAAAAAAACAACAAAACAAACTTGGACCAGCCARCAACTAACACTATTCGTGTGCTTTGTTCTAAAAATTACATTCATCTGACTTGAATTCATTCATACCTATTTGTTGAGTACACTGGTTTACATTTGTTAATATTTTCCTGGCAAACTTTGAAAACTTCGTTGAGTATGACTTCAGAAAATATACGCTTTATCGCCAAAAACTAAAAATGAATGAAAGATGCGCTTCATCAGACCTAAACACCTTTTGGTAGTATGGTTTATCTGTTTTATCGGTGACCGATCAGGCTGTTGAAAATGATATTTCCTTTTGTTGCTTTAGAGATATTTTTTTCAGCATTGGATRCAGTCCCAAATTTTTATTCTTTGWTTTTCGCTCCGCCCTTGTTATTATTTTCCGACCTGGAATTTTCACAGGGYTTATTAATTACCTCGGTTATATTTTTGGTGTATATTTCCAAGACGACCGMTTGTTGAATTCCATTTTGTTCTATAAARCGAAAAATACTAAATTAGTCTTCCTTATTTAAAAAAAGAAAAATCATTCAAAAACAATCTTTTGAGAAATATTTSAGAACATATGTGTTTTTTGGGGACGCTGCTCCAAACGGCAAAACTTCCATACATTTTTTTGTCATTTCTAGTTTTAAACGTCTTGGTATCCTTGAAACGGTACCAGTCCCTTTATTAATCTCAGAAAAGCCAATTTCCCACTATAGATCAAATTCAAATGCTCTGTGTATGCCATGATAGGGCACCTTTAGATATGAGTCGTACATCATGTATTCTTCGTTTGCAATATACGTCACAGCCGCCATCTTGGTTGAACTTCAACAAAGGATTTCTAATTAGTATCTATTGTTCATTCAACCAACATGGCCGGCGGTCTTTTGTCTTTTGAATCTCATGAGGATGATTGAAAACGAGCAATAGGTAATTTTTAATCTTTTATATTATCATATCATTTAGTTTTAGTTCATCTTTTATGCTAAGTGYCCAATTATATAGTGCGCTTTCCATTTGTCAGAACTGGCTGACCAGACCCAGAGAAAATGTCATTATATATCATTCCCATTTAGTTAGGAAATTCAAATTTTCAAATTCTWTYCATTATTCTACAGAAAACCTCGAAATGACTGAAAAATGTTGACAAAAACCATTATATACCTATAAATAGAGTGGACTGACCGGCCAGTTCTGCCTAAATGGAAAGCACCCATAGACTACTCRTCCTTTTTCGATTCCTGTCTAGAAAAAGAGAGGGTTGGAAGTTGTTTATAATTCATGCAAAATTTGCGTGTTGCATGGTTACGCTCCATCTGGCAGTTAATACAATCAAGCCAAACCGATTCAAAGAAATGTCGTTTTCTACAGAACTATGTAAAGATAAAGCTCCACACAACTATAAGTCCTAACTTTTACATAAACAAATTCCTCTCGAATCTCTCACCTAATTTGATGTCGATATTTCTATGTGAGGATCGCAATTAATAGCGCCTTCATTTGATACTTATTCTAGCTTTCAAAATGAAAAAGTCGTCGACATAAAAACGCTAGTAGAGTGTTTTGTGCGTATATTGGACACCTCTCACATATACTTGTGTGTGAGCCTGTAGTTTCTCTTTCGATAGTCACGATTTAGTAAAATTGCTCAGAAATACAAATTCTCATGTCTAATTGAATAATGAATTTGMATGTAACTGTCATTATAATCAGTCACAGTCTCAGCACTAATACTCACCTTGATTAGTTGCACCCGAAGTAGAACCAATAACTGCCAGAAGCAAAACTGAAACTGCATACATCTTTTCGTAGGAAGAATAGGGTCGTCAGTGATACCTTTSAGAGATTTGTTTATTTGCCGAAAGTCATAAAGTATAGAAGTCACGCAACCTCTCGTGACGACTTTTACGGACTCTGGGAGCGAACCGAATCGCTGACAATGTCTGCTAGCGGACTTTTGAATTTGCTCATTTTGTAAACCCATGTAAATGCAACCCCAAACTGCGAAAACGTTTCGAACACTCTCTCGTTAATTGTTGGCTGACAACGAAGTTYAATACTAGCATCTTTAAAGAGTGGTGTGAAGGAAACTTGCATATGGTCGCAAGGATGTAATACATTTTCTGTATTTAATGAATTTTTGTATYTTTTTTTTTTTTTTGATGTTCTATTTTACATAGGACTAGACGCTCCTGGAGCGTGAAGTCGGACTAGCTATTTAAGACACGAGTTCACGAGTGATCGAAATGCCCCGAGTAAGAACTAGGGAAGAAAACGGCACAGGAATGCAAGAAGGTGCTAATTGCGCATTGTATAATCCATCCATCCCATTGGTTAAAACATGAAAATCTGCTATAATTTCACTTAAGTTAGCGCATTTTCTAATATTTTATTTAATTCTGTTTTCGCTTTCATGAAAGCTTTCTTTAGCTACAATATTGAGGCAATTCTATATGGGGAACATAGCAAATTGGAAGCTTCTTTTGGCTATTGTTTTGAGTGCTTATGATTGGATAAGAGCTTTTAATACAAAAGAAACTTTGTTTCAAAATAGAGTTTAACCACATTTTATTTCAAAAATGTGTTACCCACAGATGGATACATAATCAGTGTGAAAACCAAGACATTCGTATGTGGGGAAGTTGCAATGCCGCCGAACAATAGTTCTTTAGCGCATTGTTACTTAAGTTATATTGTGTCTAATCATAGATGATTATATTATGAATGTAAATTATGGCGTAGAATATACATTTTTAGTCGGACAAGCCGAAGGCTAGGTCGACTTAAGTTTTACCTTTTAGCCAATCTATCTATGTATAATGTCGCGTTTTGGGTTGCCTGTGTTATCACATGACCGGGAGCTCAAACGTATAGATGTACGAATATCTTTAGTAAATGTTAGATTCTACTTGCGCTTTTATGATAAAAAAAAACTATTCGTTTACAAATGTGGTATCTGTGATCTTATCGGTCTAGGCAACAGAAGTACGAGTAGTATGCTTACGAAACTGAATTCTAGCGCWAGACAGTCTTGTTTGGGTAAATATTTCAAATTAGAACAAGAAGAAACTTTATTTATCAATAACAAAAAAGGCGACTTTGATTATTTTATAGGCATATTTTTTTAAATAAAACATTCAAATTAAAATCTTTTTGGCGTAAAGAGGTCAACAATTTGAATTAAAAACGTATTAGATATCTCACTTAACGACATTTAGTCTGACGTTTGATTTTATCAGTTCAGTTGTAAGTTGTTCGCAGGGTATTAATTACATGACCTTTTAGGTCAAATTTAGATTTCTATCGTTCTGAAGTCGTTGAAGAGAGCAGTCAAAAAGAATATCGTATCGTGTGAATAAACAGTTTTGAACATTACATTAAAGTGAAAGTAATGCATTCTTGCTTTCACTATGTATTAGAAGTAAAAAMATATAWTCTACRYCATAAWTTACATTCATAATATAATCATATGATTARACRGAATATAACATCATAATCTTTTCACTCGTGTCTTTATCAATTTTMAAAAATAGCTAGTCCGACTTCACGCTCCATGAGCGTCTAGTTTACTTTTTCTTTCGAATGTATATATTTTTATACTCTATTCACTCCTGAAACGAGTATAAAGCATTTAATAGGTGGTGTAGGTGGTGGGCATTTCATTTATTTATGTCTGACATAGAGCGCATTTACAAGAATAGTATATACAAGATATTACAACAATTCAAGTTTAGCTGAAATAAAGTGAACAGGAGTACCATATTAGGTCTTCACGCATCCTTTTCCAACTATTAGYTAKTCAGCAACAAGGTTAAATCATGGTCAATTAAAGCCTCTGTAAATCTGTCTATTGTAAACCAAAATGAAAACGGCCTTGGACTATAAAATTTACGTTTAGCAGCACAAGTATGCTAGAGAAWTGYYTTCGAGTGATTATGTAAGAGTTAGTTACCGAGAACGGAGGCATTACGCTATATACAGCCCGAGGGCCGCCGCCGACGTGCGAGGTAACTAACAAACTTAGTTTTCAATTCACGTGGTTTTCGCAAAAACTGAATAGACTCAATGAATGTTTTCTTATTTGGGTTTCTAACAATAGAATCCTCTTCTCTTGAGACTTTTTCATGGACTGTTGAAATTAGTTTCCTTTAAGAAAACCTGTTCATGCGAAAGCGAGCAATCGAAATTTGAATATTGTTATCAAATATTCTTAACAGTCATTCTGGAAACGATGTCGAACAGTGACGACGATTTGTTTATAGCTCAAAATACGTTTGACATCATTCCTTTGACGAATTAGAATATTGACGATTTGCTATCGGATTTGGAACTCCGTATGCTTCTTCCCGCAAATGACGATGACAAAGTCTGCAGATGGGAAAAAATGAGAAAAATTACAATAGTTTTTGATGTTGAACTCGCTCGAAAAAATACGAGGGAAGGATTCAAGAAGAAACAAACTAAAGTACCAAATGCCATGGCCGTGTGTACGTGCTTGGATAGAATGGACCAAGTCRCACCGATTTCTTCTGATTCATACACGTTGGTTAATTCCGAAGAATAGATTCTTTTAAAAGTAACGGCGAAGATCTTGGTTATTGTTGTCTCTATTCTCTGATGAACATATGAAGAAAAGCTGCGGGACTCGAACTTATTACACTCTAAATCAGTCTCCTCAAGTTTTGCTGGCCGCACTGGTCTTTTTAGGGGAAAAATAGTTTAGTTTACTTAGTTTATTTGATGTTCAGCAGGGAAATGTGGGGTTGATGAATTGAATTGAATAACTCGTTATAAATTCAGCGGGCTATATGTGAGTGATTCCGGTCACTCATATATAGCCCGCTGAATTTATAACGAACTATTCAATTCAATTCATCAACCCCACATTTCCCTGCTGAATATCAAATCCCTCCCCGGCTTTAAGTTTCTATGGTATRTWCAACCCTATGAATAACAAAGAAAACCTAGTGAATGGGAAACTAATGCTTCATACTACTGTCCTTTTATACCCCTGCATACATAACCACCCTGGGGAACCATATAACTAACAAAAGCCCGCTTCCACTATTATGCAACACCCACTGGTATACATTCCGTAAGGCTGCTAAATACATTTCTCAATTCCAATACATTTGTTCAAAAATCTAGAATTTTTGAAAACCTGCCAATCGGTTACATTTTATCCGATTAACACCAAAAGTTGTGAGTTTCTTAATTACAGTGCGRTCTTTCGTTTTATACAAGTCTTATCTCACCATCGTGTGAATTAAGGGACTTGTGCCCAGTCTTCCACTATAAGAAATCGGGCAATGACACATACTAGATAGATTGACTAAAAGGTAAATTAGCCTTCGGTTAGTCCGACTAAAATATTAGAGAGTTTAAGCATCATGTTAACGGCAGAGCTGAACCAATGACTTAAGAATTTTGTGCCCGATCTTATGCTTTTGGTAGTCATTGGAAAGAGCGGCTTTTGACGATTCTGGCAAACTCAAAATAACCCACTCTCGCGTTGAAACTGCAACGTWAAACTATAAAAAAGCCGGTCACGTGATCTTTTCTGCCGTTTGCCGTGAACGTCATGCTAAACCTCTCTATTATCAATCAAGACTCTTCGTCCTGTAAGGTTTCTTAAGTCATTAACCCTTTAACGTCCAATTTAGGGATTATGGGTCCTGCAGGAACGATGCTTCTAAAAATTACAAGTTTCCGAGATCGCAAAAGAAGACCACCAAATGTACTCCATGACAACAGCTAGTAATATAACTCTACCTTAGAGTTAAAAAGATTTCACATCGAGCGCGATATCTGGGCAAAATGGACCCCTGACAAATAGGAATGCCTAAATTTCGACTTTTTGGTTCACCAGTAAGGCTGGGGATCACGTCTCTTCATCTCCAGTTTTAAAGTCGAAATCATCTTTTGCAAATCGAAATTCTACGTTTTTTGAAATTGGCCATCCCTGTTCTTTAGTATTTTTGCATTTTTGATTTGTAGAAGTCTCTGCAGATCTTAGCCTTCTTTTCGACACCAAGCACAGCAAACCCGACTGTCAGCAAACCCAGATTTCTCAATTGCGCGGCCGATGTGCATCATGGGAATCTGGTTGGAACTCAACAGGGAGCAACCAACGTTSCTGTTTTCATCGTTTTTTGTGCCGAAGGCCTTCATCTAAAGGAACTTTTAAATCATTGAGCGATTTTAATTCACACATATAAAGAAGATAATTTGTATAAATAACTCCTTGTTGATTATTTAGCATCATGTAGCATACAATAATTAGCTGCTTTTCCAACAAGAGTAGATTCAAATGAGGGATTATTTACCCGTATCCAATACTTTGTCACTAAAGTTGAAATCTGAATAATCAATGGTGTTCTTCCAAGTTCTCCATAAATTGTAACGTTGGTCGATTTTTTGTGTACTCCTAGTACACGCTTTAAAAATCTTAGATGAAGACGCTCAATATCATTTAAAATCACACTAAAAAACTTTTGTTTGAAAATATTATAAGACGAGGTTTTATATATATATAATTTCAAAGACACAAGATTTTGCTGCGAGTTTCGTGCTATGCACTCACGTTTTATTTAGAAGATAAACTCTCCATATTTCACAACCATAAAGTAAAAAAGGGACAACTAGAGAGGAAAAAAGGTTTTAGTAAAGCTTTAACGGGAAYATTTTCTGCATTTGAAAGATTACTCTTTAGGTTATGATACACCCTTAATGCCCTGTTATATAAAGACTTAATCGCTAAATTAAAATTGCCATYATAGTGAAAAGTTAGACCTAAGTAAGTATATTCCTCAACAATATCTAAACTTTGACCATTAAAAAACCAACACGAGGTTTAATGTAAACGTTTTTGCACGTTTTAGCAAAAAACTAAAATTTCTAGTCTTTTTCAAATTTACATCTAATTTCCACTTTTTTTTAGACTATTCTGTAAACCAAACTCACTTTCTGATAAAAGTACTAAGTCATTGGCATATAAAAGGCAGTTTATTTTTYACAGCAATGTGATCTTAACTCTGCTTCGTTTATGGTCCGTTTTGTTCTGTCGTTTTTAGGATGGAATTACAAGGTCATGATAATCCTCGTTTACTCTATTTATCTCTCACTATTTACCTTCTATTTATCTCTATTTCGCAAACAATGAGACTTCAAATTACACTGTGTCTTATGTCCTAGTTTTCTARGTCTCTATGTTCCTATTAAGTCTCTTTTGCCTGAGTCACATGCAGTCTCTCTCTAGAGCCAAGACTGTGGAGTTGACMCTTGGGCTTTTGTTGCGTGTCAAACCACGAGGAACGCCTTGTAGAACTATGYCCCACGTGTGGGGTAGATTGAATCTCAGACCTCCTCTCCTGTTAAGGGTGGGGTTTTCAATGCGTTCGTGCACTGCCTCTTTTAAGCCAGTTAGTCTCTTTATCCAATATCGTGACGTCATTCTCAATGTCAAAAGTGTGATCTGATTCGATGAGATGACCAAAAACAGCCGAGTTTTGCGCTTCTATGATGCTGGGCCTCCTGCGTTGGCGCATTCAAGCTTTTAATGCTTGTTTGATCTCACCCACACGTCTCAGAGCAGATATCACACACCAAACAAGCAAATAGAACCTAACGAAAAGTAGTGGTTTGCCATGCCTTGTTAATATTTTCCCCCAAATAGAACCTGACAATTTTTTTCATCATTTGCTAATGCTTTAGTATCAGTGAAGAGATGAGAATTAACATTTCATAGTAGAGCATAACACGTCTATTGTTGAGCCTGATATTAAATCTCACACAATTTGCACATTTAAAAGATTCTAGAGGCTCTCACATCGTAAAGTCGGGCTACCTCTGACAAATACAGGAAATTTAAAGAAGTCACTCTTGAAAATACTTCAAATTAGGAAACAAGGAGCGATATCTTCCCATCTTTCTCAATTTTTACAAAATAGATAGCCCGACTTCACGCTAACAGAGCGTCTAGTTAGTATATTGTTCATTCCTCCAACATGGGCGCCAGTCTTTATCGTTTAAATCTCAATGGGAATGGGTGAAAACGACTCCATACGAAAGGGAAGACAAATTTAAACTAAAGTTGAGCCCATTTGTTATGGCATTGGGTACTGAATATCGTCCAGAAGTTCAATCATTCCTCATTTCGACGCGTGAATTTGCATAAAACAATACCACAACGATCCTAAGAGATTCATTTTAATAGAAATAATAGATACGAAAAAACTTCATGATATCACGTGCCATCAAATATTAAAATAATTTGTATTTCACTTTGTTAACTATTGAATTAACTATTGAATCAATATTTCTCTTTATGATAAAATGGCTCTACTATGTCCGAGACAACCCCAGGCATGTCACAAGTGAAAAAAGACATTAGAAATAAGGACGGAAGAGTAGTAGGCAGAATAATTACCGTATTTACTCGAATAGACTCGAATAATTTTATTATAATCTCTGCGATGAGTTTCGAGAAAATTAGCTTTGAAGAAAAATGAAGGTGTTTTTATTTTGCATCGTTTATCCCAATAGCTYGCTTTTTGGCAAATTAATTTATCAACAAGAATTATCGATAATCGCTGTGACTCCTGTGAAAGTTTGAGTGCAACTGAATCGAAATTTGCGACGATAGTTGGAGTTTAAAAATACGCGCGMAACGCTATTTATTACGATCGAAACACCTTMAACTTCTATTTYAACATCAATGTCCTCCTRGTGGTCGGAATCTAACAGCTGCTGAGAGTAAAAAGCACAGTCACTTCGAAATGAAAAATGCTCTAAAACAAAATAAATTCCATTGCTGGTATCATTATTTCCTCAAATTGACACCGCAACCAGATACGGTGTCTACTCGGGGCGGCGTCTATTAATATTTCGAGCTTTTTAAAGTGCAGCGTCTATTTGAGGGCGGCGTCTATTTGAGGACGGCGTCTATTCGGGGGAGGCGTCTGTTCGAGTAAATACGGTAATCATAATTTCAGACTTAGACCTCTTCTTTGTRTTGTCAGTCTTCTCCTCTATCACGCGATTACTTCACTATGAGTCTCAAGATTTCGAGCCGTACCTACCGGTCTCAAGATATCGACGAAAATCTCCCGGTTTTTCGAGAAAATCCCAAAACCCTTGTGCTTTTTATAAAAGTGAAATGTCGGTGGTTTGCGATCGTTCCTTTTTTGGTTCGGCATTCGAAAATCTAACGTTCTCAAGATATAAAAYTGCCTGGGGATGAAATCCTTGCCAAATGTACAGTCATGCAGGAAGCCTATCATTTTGCACGATCTTCCGAAAACCTTTGCGTGATCTTCTAATTCACAAAAAAGGCCATCTTTGACTTTGAACCAATCAGAAGAGATCATTTGTAAAAGAAAACATACGATTGCAAAGGTTCTCAGACGAACGTGGGGCGAGACCGGGGGAGTAAAGATGCGTGAAGGGGAGGGAGGATTTAGAATGGAGCTTCAACGTTTCCCATTTCAACGAAGACCGTCTTCAGTTGTGTATAATAGTTAACGACAGCAAGCCCTCCTTCACGTCCAAAACCAGACATTTTGTATCCCCCAAACGGGACTTCTACAGGGGTAATATTAAAAGAGTTGATCCAAAGAGTACCAGCTTGGATGTTCGATGTAATGGAATGAGCACGGCGTAAATCCCTGAAATCAAATGAACGGAAATTGTAATTTGAACAAGTTTTGATAGTGATAGTGACAGTGATAGTGGTAGTGATAGTGATACTGGTAGTGATAGTG